CAGTGGGGTGGGGTGGGGGGGGGGGCATCAGACGGTGGACAGCCTGCAGCAGGTGAGAGGGACAGATAAAACCCAACTGAAGGGCGGGCCTCGTGAGGGAGCATGGAAGAAAAACAAACCCTGACATTCAGCTCGAACACTTCCACGTTTTATCATCCCAGGCTCAACGACGGGCCGAGTTCTTCTTCTTTATGTCAACAAACTAAATATAGAGCGAGAGGAAATGATGTGACAAACCAGATGCTGGAGGCAGAATTTTTATTTCAACCTGAACACATCCACAGACTCGCGCTTTTATTCTGAAACTTCACCTTTTTTTTTTAAAAGAAAGGACAGCCACCCACCACATTCATTTAGCTTTCACAGTCCCTGCTCGTTTTAAAGTCAAATAGACTTAAACACTGATTTTAGAAACAGATTTAAATGTAAAATTATCTTTCCAATAAAAATCTCAAAAAACTTTTTTTGAAAGAAAGAATAAAGACTCAAGCAGTGCAGTTCGACTAATTGCTTTAAAACTAAAATTGAGAAAAATAACYCCCCCTGAATGAATCCAGGGTTGATGCTGCCCCCTGCTGTCTGTCTGTCATCACTGCAGACCAGTTGGCTCAGTTTTCATCATCCATCTCATCATCCTCATCCTCATCTTCAGCACCACGTCCGTTCATGGCCTGGACTCTGGCCAGCAGCAGGGGCAGGTTGATGGCGAGGCCCGTCGTCTCCTCCTCATCCGAGTCGTCTCTCGGAGGGTAGAAGCGCTTCGCCTTCGCCAGGAAGTCCTCGCCTATGTCCAGGTACAGGAGACGGTCCTGGGGAGGGAAAGAAGAGCTGAAGCGGGGGTCTGTGAAATCTTCTTCACATGACTGAAGATGACGACCTCGAAACTTCATTTCACTGTAATCAGAAATTAGCTYATCTCAAACTGAAGGTCCACGGGCCAGATGTGGCCCTTGTGACAGTTCTAACTGGTCCCACAGTTATTTTAAATTGTTGTCCTTTTTTTTGTTTTCTCCTCTCACCAGGATGAACAGATATCTCTCGGGCGGGGGCTCCTTGCTGCTGAAGATGGAGGTCTCGGTGTGCAGCGTGTGAAGCATGGCGCGTGCTGCCGGGGCGTTCCKCATGCGGTCAAGTGACGCGCCGGCRGACACGTTCAGCAGGGAGTCSGCCTCGGCCATGAAGCCTGCAGGGAAACGAGCTCGAAGGTTCTCAACAAAACTAAAAGTAAATAATTGATTTTATTTATTTTTTGGCCGCTGCGCCGTCTTTACCCAGGTTTTCCAGGATTGTTTTCCATTTGTCCCGGACCTCTCTGCGTGTGTCTCTCATGGCCTCGATGTCGACGCTCAGGCGACGATAACCCTGCAGGAACAGGAATATCAACTCTAACCCGCTTTAAGGAATGAAGCGTTTGTGTCGTTTAAATACATTCCAGCTCCTTGTCTGTTTTTTTAATTTTCACATGTATCCTGTCGTACCGTGGATCCGACCCGGGTCTGGTTCCTGGCCTGGAGCAGAGTATAAAGCGTGCGGTCGTCGTCCCTCTCCGAGTGGCTGGGGTCTCCAGGTTCGCTCCACAGGTTGGTCTCCTCGTCTCGCCGCTTCTGGACTTCCCGGGTGAAGTAGTCCAGCGGATCTGGACTGAGCGAGCACAAATTTTAGTTTTGACCAAAAATCGTATAAACAATCACAAGAAATTAGTTTTTTTTTTT